CTGCTTTATACTGCTCTACAGCCCTCTCTAAGGGGTTTACAGAGTCAGCCTCTTGCCCCCCCAACAATCTGGGTCCTCATTTTACCCACCTCGGAAGGATGGAAGGCTGAGTCAACTTTGAGCCTGGTGAGATTTGATCTGCCAAACTGCTGGCACCCAGTGATCAGCAGAAGTAGCCTGCAGTTCTGCCTAACTCATCCTCCCATGTTTCCTCTTGTTTGTTCACAGATGCTAATTTGGAGAAGGTACAAAATTCACCTCCTGGCTCCAGTGATGCCCCCCGCCAGCTGGTTCCTTTGCCTACTGTGGTGTCTCCTCCATGCCTGGATCTCAGCGCTCTGCACCGACTGGTTGAGCATGGTGAGCAAAGAGGATTCATCACCATAGTAACCTATAAAATTCTACAGGCAACTTAAAACCCTCTCCTGGTTGTCCATCCCCTGACTTCCCAGAGACGTTTGATCCAAACGTCTTGCATTTCCATTCAAGATGATACCTGTCATTCCATAAAGTAGGCCTTTATGGAAAACCTTCCAGCCAAAAATTATACGTAGCAATGTTTTACCTGTAAATGACTTTTTCTGTTTTAATCGCAATAATACGCCTACAAACAACTGCTTTAAATTCAATGTAAATCGTTCTAAACTTCACTATAAAAAATATGATTTCTGTAACGGAGTTGTCAAAGTGTGGAATGCCCTTCCTGATTCAGTTGTCTCAGCTACAAATTTTCACAGTTTCAGTCACAATTTGACTGAACCTTATTTCATACTTAAGTGGTTAGTAGAGGGGCCATGCATAACTGTACTAACATGCCTATTGTCCCTGTCACTGTTTTTTTTTTTTTAATTTTCTGATTTGTGTTCTCGTTTTTGTTTGACAAATGCCAATAAATAAATAAGGGAAAGAGAAGATAATTGGTCCATTGGAATTTGGGCGGCTAATACATTCAAATAAATAAACCATGGAAAATAAATAAAGACTGCTCCTTTCTCTTCGACAGTTTTCTGTCTTGGTCTCCAATCTCACTTCCTTCTGCACGAAACAGGGATTCTGACCTGGTTGTAATTCTCAGAAGGTGCCTGTGAGAATTTAACTATATCGTTTTCTCTTTATGGGATTGCCAGTGTCGGAATATTCTTCCTTGTCCAGAATTCCTTTTCCAAGACAGCCATCAAGACCCTTTTAAAGATGGTCTCTGCAGTGGGAAGATATATAAATGAGGCAGCTTCCGGATGGATTCTATTCTTTTATTCTGCTTATCTTCTAAAACAATGTCTCTCAATCTTAGGTCTCTCCACGTCTTCCAATTATTCTAAAAGTATATGGAGCCAGTTGCTTCCTTCCTGTCATTTTCCTTTCCTTTCTCTCTTCCAGACACCTGGTCTGACTCTGAAGAAGAAAAAGAAGCCTGTTTGAAAGGAAAACATGGGGAAGCTGTTAATGGGACTACTGGCCACTCAGTTCTTGTGCTGAATGATGTTGTCCAACATGAAGAGCCTCTGGCTGTGAAACCTGACCTCACTCCAATTTGTTCAAGCCCTCACAGTCCTGCAGGAGGGGGTGAGTTGACATATCCCAGTGCTTTCTTTAAAAAATCCACATTTTAAGGGAGGAAAAGTGAATAGGCTCAGGGTCACCATGGACCGTGAGATGAATAGCAAATAAATTTGATCGTAATAAAGTTAAGCACCATCGGCATTGACAAAATCGCCATCGGTCAACTGCAAAAGACAACCTTGCTCACAAAAGCTTACATCCTGTGACTTTTAATATTGTCAGACATCCAGATCTGCCTATCCCAGGTCCTTGGGATGGACTTGATAGGCAGATAAAAATGACAAATCTAGTCTGAACATCTGGCTGAGTGTGTGACAGAATGAAGCTCAGTGATTGGTTTCCAGCAATGGCTATCAGAAAAAAATGATTAGATATTTGTTCTTTGTTTCCTTTTTTTTTTAAAAAAAAAAACAACAACATATTTTTATTAAGCAATTTGAAAAAAAAAGACAAACAAAAAGAGAAAAATTATAGAAAGATAAAACATGAAATGAATGAACAGGGGATCTACAAATATCATGGAACTGGATTAGAATTTTGAATGTATAATTAACTGCTTTTAAACACTAGAACATATCATTTTATAAACAACAGCGTCACTGTTAAAATGCAGGCAGTTCATAAATATCAGTGGCAGAAGTTAGCACAGTACGAATCATAAAATGAGACTCAAAGTTACAGTACGTTCTATCCCAAGAGACTTACCCATCTCTCTGGATTTAATTGATCTTTTTAGAGCTAGAATATTAAAACTTTATGCTAAGACAAACTCAGTCTGTTTGCTTTTTCTCATGTGCTAGACAGAGGGAAGGAAACAAAAGGCTCTTTACCCCAAAATATCATCCGTCCAGACTGCTACCGTCACTTCATACCCCGTTTCAAATCTTCTGCCCCTTCCAAGGTGAGACCTGGCTTAAAAGTCTGGGAAGAAATTATTGTCAGTTGTTGATTTATAGTATAAAACCAATTTGCGGGGTTTTGCTCAGCCGTCAGTCCTGGTTTACGAATCTTTGACAGCCATGGATAGAAAGACAATACAGAGGGTGGTGAGCACAGTAGAAAACATCACGGCCTGCCCCCTGATATCACTAGACGAGATTGCTAGGACTCATATTTATGACGGTTGCAGTTTCACGGCGTCATGTGATCTCCCTTTGTGAGCTTCTGACAAGCAAAGTCAATGGGGAAGCCCGATTCACTTAATGACCGTGTTAATAATTAAACAACTGCAGCGATTCACTGAATAAACTCTGGCAAGAAAGGTCGTAAAATGGGGCAGAACTCACTTAACAAATGCCTCGCTTAGCGCTGAGCTTTCAGGTTAAGTTGTGGTTGTAAGCTGAGGACCACCTCAGAGGTGGAATTCATCAGGTTCTGACCAGTTCTGGAGAACCAGTAGCGGACATGTTGAATAGTTCAGAGAACTGGTAAATATCACCTCTGGCTGGCCGTGCCCCCATCTATTCTCTGCCTCCCGAGTCCCAGCTGATCGGGAGGAAATGGGGATTTTTCAGTATCCTTCCTCTGCCACGCCCACCAAACCACACCCACAGAACCAGTAGTAAAAAAATTTGAATCCCACCACTGGACCACCTGTATAGCAATTTATACTGGGCTCATGTTTGGCTTTCAAGGTATTTTCTTCTCCAACCGCTAACGAGGGTCTGAAGCTGAAAGCTGTGATTGGCTACAACGGGAACGCCCGTGGGAACATGGTGTGGAACCCTGACACAGGTACAGCCATAAAATGAAACCCCAGATTTTATCACCTTCATTTACCAAGCCCTCAGTGGAAAAATGGCAGGATTTGGGATCTTTTGGAAGACTTTCTAAATCTCATTTTTTAAATAAATAATTAAAAACGTCCAAATATGTCAAATCAACTTAGTTTGAATATTCTCTTCGGCCCGCACCATTCCCTTTGCAGAATATCTGTTGTGGCCTCTTGGCCATCGGCCGCTCCAGCAGCCAAATCAGAGGAGGAGGAGGAGGTGTGGGAGTCAGAGTCAGCATCAAGGCAACCTGACAGCTCCAGTGGGGGAAGACAGAGTGGAGTTGGCAGAGAGAGAGAGGCATAGGTGGGCCATTGGTCAGTCCTCAGATGGAGAGTCAACAGCCCCCAGGTCTGGAGGTGGTTGATGACGAGAAGGAGGAACAGCTGGGTCCAGTGCCTGACAGAAGGCAGAGAAGAGGAGAGCAGTGGAAATCGATGGGCCGGTCCTTGGGACGAAAGAGCCACCTTTGCTAGCAAACTCTGGGGATAAAAAGCAGGGGGCAGAGATGAATAGGTGTGGCAGACAGCTATTCATCTCCCTGCTGGACAGGCTTGTTAGCCTGCTGGGTGAGAGAGAGAGACTTTTTGCCACGGCTGCTGCCACTTCTAATTAAGGAAACATTTAGTTAACTAGAGTGGGTTTGTCATGCTTGGTCAGAACAATATCCTATTGTTCTAGCTGCATGTTGTAACCTTGGGGAACATATACATATTATCAGGGGGAAGTGGTGGTGGTGGGGGAGAGATTCTAGTTGTGACAGGATCTTTTTTCCTCCTCTCTGCTAGGTTTCTTTGCCTACAGTTGTGGTTGCGTGCTGATTGTGGAAGACTTGCACTCTGGATCCCAACAGCATTGGCTGGGTCACCCAGAAGAGATTTCAACCTTAGCTCTCAGTCATAATGCCCAGGTATGGTCACCCCACCATTTTTCTATAGATAAGTTTATCAGAATCACAAATACGTTGGTTGGATCAGATGAAATGGGGATTCATTGAAGCTCAATGCCAAATAGCATCCAAAAGTAAATCAGAGTCAAAGGCAAAGGATTGCTCAAAGTTCCAATTTATTAAGAGAGCCACGTTGGCACATCTGGGAAAACGCGAATCTGGAAGCTTCCCGGTTTTCCCCACCCAGTTGAAAGTTCAAGATCTTGCCTCCACACCCACCAGTCCATCACATGGTCCAATCTTCCACCCCTCCAGTTCTGGTCAGGTGCAGAGGTGCAGAGACAAAGGATGACCTTGGCTTTCTAGAAAGAATGTTGTTATGGCTACATATCATCTAACTCTGTACAATCCCCCCTCCCATTTCCCCACAATAGAAAAGGCATAGTAGAATAATAGAAAGTGTGGCAGGCCAAAGATCCAAAAGAAAAGATGGCTGCAGGCCTGACAGCGGTCTTGAGGATGAGATTCCTAACTTCAGCCAATATTATCTCTGCCTAAAGTGGGATTGATGATATGGAGGTTATGTCGCATCATTACTACAACCCAACATAAAAAGACTTTCTTTCTGATGTGTT